TCAGCAAAGACTTCAGTCGTTAGGGGGCCTAACCGGCCCAGACTGTGATCCACCACAGGAGCTCCCCTGTGGGCCTGCTCACCTGCAGCACCAAAGATACGCTCGGTTTCAGTGGCACTGGAGTCAGAAGAGTGGCTGCTAGTAATCTATGGTCTCAATATCACTAATAAAGTCAAGCACAGGCCTCTCAGTGCCACTAAGCTGACCCAAGCCTGATCGGTGACCCACTGCAGGGGCACTTCCCTGGGCCCAACCTCATGCAGCACCAATGGACTCTCTACTCAGATTTCAGAGGTGCTGGATGTGCCCATTTGCACTTAGCCAACCCAAGTTACTGATAAAATCAGGTGCTGAAGGTAGATCCTTGGGGTGATTGCAGGTATGCTGGTGTGGTGTGTCTTCCTCTTTAATCCAAGGAGGTCTCAGATGGCCTATCTCACCTGCCAGTTGGCGCACCCCCAGGGAAGTTTCTGATGGCCTTTCTCGGCTGCTTGTCAGCGTTCCACAGGATAGATCCTCTGATCTTGTTATTTCTTCCCTGCCTGTCCCTTTCTCCTTTCTAATTCTACTCCTCTGAGTTTGGTGCACTCTGACTCAGTGTGCTGTTGTTCAGAGCACCAGAATCCCTAATTCAAACTGCTGTATCTAATTTTTCAAGCACTAAGATGCTAGAGGGGAATAGCATGGTGATCATTGATGAGACTCCATTTTGAATCTCAACAGCTGTAATCTTTGTGGAAGCAGGCTGTCACATCTTTTTCCAGATGGCATGTTTGAACCACCAACCTTTCAGTTAGCAGCTGGGCATTTCAACCACTGCATCACCAAAGCTCCCTATCAAGGATGATTAAGTGCATCAATTTTGTAGCTCATTTGGGTGATGTTTCCCTTGAAGAGCAACCAGTGGCATGAGGAATTGGCCACATGGTAAGCACAGATGACTCTATGCCTGGAAGAGGGCAAGTGTAATATCTTATCATGCTCTTATTTCAGTGTGTGTGTGTGTGTGTGTGTGTGCGCGCGCATGTGAGCAAGTTCCAGAAAGTTCCCAGTTAGTTAAGTTTAAATAAATATTGGATACCTGCTTGATGCCAGGCACTGTGTCAGCCTCATGGGTACAGAACTGAAACAGACATGGCCCCAGTTCCAGTATGCACTAAAACAGAAATACATGACAACCTCTCTAGTATTCATGATTATTATTTTACTAATTTTAAACTATAGGGCTCACTGCTTTCTTTTATCTTGCTTGCAGGGCACCATTGTAGGCACCAGGCCCTGGGTATAACAGCATCTCTTTTTAAAAATATAAAAGGCATATTTAATTTTAATTTTAGCAGCAGAGAAAAAGATATTTTATACACAGTAGTGAAAAAAAAATCTTTAGAATCTGTACTTGGTATACAAACCAAGAATGCTTTTCTGAATAACTTAATGATTCTTTGAAAGGAAAAATTATGCTTATAATACATTTTCAGAATGTTTAAGCAGGACTTCCCTTTCCCTGGGCCAAAGAATTTATTTTCTTAAAAGAGACCTGTGGATATTCACCTATTTCATTAAAACTGCTTGACTGTTGGAACATTCAAAAAGTGAGTCCAGGCAAGTCTCTCTCACTTCCCCCTGCCTCCAGTACTCACATTATGGCTGAAGCTTCCAAATGATTAGTGTAGTATTAGCTTTAATAAGCCACTTGGTAGCTAAGGATAATACGTCTTGCTCTGAGGAGAGGGGAAAGGGCAGATTTATCCCCAAGGAAGTAGGTGTTGTTGTTGTTGGGTGCCATTGATTCTGATTCAGTGACCCCATGTAACAGAGTAGAACTGTCCTATAGGATTTTCTAGGCTGTAATCTTAGCGGAGCACCATGTCTTTCACCCATGGAGCTGCTGGGTGAGTTCGAACTACTAACCTTTATGCTAGCAGTCCAATGAGTAAGCGTTGTACACACAACTGGATAAATAGTGCTGTTTTGTGACACTAAAGGAAAAGAAGAATTATCTTTCTTGAATCCAGAGCAAATGTGGAGAAGTCAACTAAAGACTGAAACGAGGTCACAAATTTTTAAAAAGTTTGTTTCTAACTTTATATTCTACCATTGCTCTAAACCCTTGATAGCCTTACTATCATAGCCTAATGTCACACCTCATACTTTAAAAAAAAAAAAAAATTTTTATTGTGATTTGGGTGAAAGTTTACAGAACAAATTCATTTTCCATCCTGCAGTTCATATACATTTTGTTTCATGACATTGACTGCCATTCCCCTACAATCTCACAGCTCTCTTCCCACTTCCTCCCTATAGTTATCTCTTCCCTGTGTCCTTCCCTCCCATGTACTCCCACCTAGCTGTCTTCCTATGCAAACAATATCTCCTCATACTTTTAAAACTTTATTTCAACTTCTAATAAAAATATTATTACTTATGATTATTCAACACATGAATTTTATCTGCTATGTTTATGTTGAGGGAGTTAAAGATGCATTCTTACCAAAACACAGGGACTTACTAGTCTAGTGGTTCTAAATTTTTATCACCTTGTGGAAGAACCCAAATGATCAGACTCTCCTACCTGCAGGGATTCCTTCTCTTACTTCTTCTTCTGCCAGGGCAGAGTCCCTCTCCTCCATCACTTCAGAAGGACACCCGTCACAGACATTTTTTAAGGTTCTGATTTATTGGGTGTAATGCACTCTTTCAGAAGTACAGGGAATGAATGCTTTAAACAAAAACAACAACAAAACCCAAACCTGTTGCAGTTGAGTTGATTCTGACTCACAATGACCCTGTAGGGCAGAGTAGAACTGTCCTATAGGGTTTCCTAGGATGTATTCTTTATGGAAGCTAACTGTTACATCTTTCTCCCACAGAGCAGCTGGTAGGTTCAAACTGCTGACCTTTTGGTAGCATAGCACTTAATTAACCACTGTGTGACCAGGACCCCAAAGAATGCTTAGTTGGGTGGAACAGGGTGAACTGGAAATGAAGCTCCTGGTGACCAGGCAATTGCATTTCCCTTGCCTGGGTAGTCACAGAATGTCTGGTTCATTTTGAATTTGTATGTCGGTACCAAAAGAGTTGCAAGAAACTATCAGGTAAGCAGAAGGAGTTTGCTCATGTGACTTTTTCCAGGCTTGTTCCTTCTCTGGGGGCAAGGCACAGTTATTTAGACTTTATTTGGAGAAGCTACCTCCTCACTAAGGCTCTGAGACAGGGCCCTCCTTTCAGTGAGCGCTACAGGTGCTAAGTGGCTACACTTGCCTGGGCTTCTCTTCAGTGACCAGTCTGTCTCAGGGCTCTTTCCGACACATGTGGACTGGCTGACACTAACACCACAGCTGCTCTTTTCCCTGCTTGAATTCTGCCCTCTGGATCTCGACAATGTTGTCCCTCTCACTCTCACGGGCTTTGCCATTACATCTGTTCATTTGACTTGCAGACAGCATCATATGTCAGTTGCCAGAACTCACATTTTGACTCCTGATTATTCCAGGCACACCATCAGAGGTGACATGGTCAAGTTAAGGTAGGGGGATGATATCTACGTGGGCCAAACTGACCGTTCTCCCCACCAAATAAAGGTCCAGATTACATGTGCAGAAAAGGAGGAAGAAAAAGTCAGTATTTGCCAAGGATCAGCTGCCTGACCATTTGTAAACAGAGGTCAAGGGTGATATGTTGGCAGTGATAGTTTTGTCCAAAACAGTTTCTGGATTTAGATTTTAACTCATCGTTGTTTGTTGCGAGCATGCTGACTCTGGTTCATGGTGACTCTGTGTACAATGGAATGAAATGCTGTCTGGTCTTGAGCCACCCTCAAAATTGCTAGCATGCTCAAGTCCATTGCTGAGGCTACTGTTTCAGTCCATCTCACTGAGGGTCTCACATGTTCTTGTTGGCCCTCTACTTCACCAAACATGATGTCTTCCTCCAGCAATTGACCCTTCCTAATAATGTGCCCCAAAAGAGTGAGTCAGACACTGTTCTGTTGTGAGCCATGAGGTTTTATTGGCTAACCAAGCTGTTTTAAAATGAATGCTGTAAGTGGTAAGAGAAAATTCCAAATCTCTCCCACTGTTTTTACTTGAGCTCTGGTAGCATAGTGGCTAAAGCACTTGACTGCTAACCAGAAGGCTGGTGGTTCAAACTCACCAGCCACTCCTCGGAAGGAAGGTTGGGCAATCCTACTTCTGTAGTGATACTGCCTCGGAAACCCAAGGAGGGGTCGCTATGAGTTGGGGCCAACTCGACGGCATATAACAACAACAACAACAACACCACAACACATCTGTTGTACTTTTAATTTCTTCAGATTTGTGTTCTCTTTTATTTAATACTAACAGACTCACTGATGGTTTTCCACAAGCTGATTTTGAAAAGGCTTCCAGCAGATAAACCTTGTATGTCAAATTGTCCTTGGGAAGCGGTCTCTGCTTATTACAGCATCATCTTTCACTGATTCAGGAGTAAGTCAGCTGTCTGGGAAAAGCATTCATTCATTTTATAGAGGAGGCACCAACAAAATGCCCTCGTGAAGCCATGGATGTCAGTGCAGGACTGCATCTTAGAAATATAACCTAATACCTATAACACTAAATGTCCTCCCCAAAGAGACTTAGGGCAAACCCTGTCCCATTCAGTTTTGATCCATCCATAGTGCCTATCACATCACTATGCATGGGATATGTTAGACACACAAGAAATGTTTATGGAATTTAATCGAGTGCCACTGTTTTATCCATTGCTTGGTACATACTAAGCACTCCGTACATATTTGTGGCTGTTATTAATATGAAATAAGGCTTAAAGAGGGGTAGTGATTTTCCTGAAGTGTCAGAGCTGCAGTATATTGTTCTAACATCCCATGTTTTGGGTCTTTAAAAATATGTAATTATGCCAGGTAATGTGTGGGCAAATTTATATCCTTTACAATCAGTGAAGTAAGGGACAAACTGCATCATGTACAGAAGAAATATTAAGTAAGAAGCTTTATTAAATCTTCAAATTTTCTTTCCATTAAATTCTTCAATAAGAAGAACAAGGGATAATATTATTGAGGACTTCAATATCCCACGAACTGTGTTAAACACGGAAATAACAGAAAAATAAGACATAAACTTTGCTTTCAGGAAACTTAGGGGAAAAAGAAATTTGCAGAGATTTTGGGGATCCTGTTTTGTGAAGAATTACCTGAGACTACAAATATTTCTGCAAATAACATTAGCATTTATCTCAGCCATATTTTGCTTGGCACTGGGTTCTTACCTGCCCCGCTGGATGTTAAGAACAATTATATTTTTCCTTTGTGAGGGGCAAGGGAAGTGACAGGTTACATTTTCATTATGTTCTCTGAACGCTCAATGGAATCATTGAACATATAACAAGAATCTAAGCATCTGCTCTGCCAAAAATTTTATATGCATACATTAAAAAAAATCTGAGTAGGGAAATTGAAGATCAAAGAAATTTAACTAGAATTAAGTCAAAGAATGCTAGAATTTTGCTTAGTACCTGTTCTGTTTACAGGGCATGTGGAAAAGAATCAGACTCTAAAAAGGATTAAAAAAAAGCAAGATCAAAACAGAAAGAAAAAGAAAATCCTTTTGGTATACTTGATGAGGGAAGAGAAAACTTTAAGAGGTGTATTTGTGGCCTAGAAGTATAAGAATCTATGAATTAAAGGACTGTGTAGACGAAAAGACTAGAAATAATAGCTCTGTCCTAGGGAACACCTCACTAAGAAGGCAACATTTAGAAAAAACCCTAGGGAAGTGAGGGAGTAAGTCATTTGGCTTTAGGAAATGCAGCAACCCCTCCTTGGGTTTCCGAGGTGGTATCTCTATGGAAATAGATTGCCTCATCTTCCTGGTGAGGAGTGGCTGCTAGGTTTGAACTGCCAGCTTTCTGGTTAGCAACCAAATGCCTTAGGCACTATGCCACCAGGGCTCCCTTGCTTTAATGAGTGAGTTTGTATTACATGTTAAAATAAAAACAGCAGCTTTAGAAAGAGACAACTGATCATTAATTAACCTTTACATACTGAGGTACCTACCAAAGAGTATATAAATCTGAAAGTAGATATAGTCATATGAAAGAAAAAAGAACTAGACAGAGATCAGATTAGAAATTTTTAAAATATATGACTCATAAATCTGGGGATGTATCCCATGTAGGTGGTACTGTTCTCAGTTCACATGATGATACTGTCAAAAGGGGAAAGGGATTGGGAGGGGGCGTGAGAAGTGAAGCTAGTGTCTTAACCTAACTGTAAGACTTCATTTAAAATTATGCTGGAAAGTTTATTGAAAATCTACTGCTAAGGCTAAATCTTCAATATCATAACACTGTTGTGTAAGATTTCTTTTTCTCCCCCCGCCCCTTCTCTTTTCTTCCAGCTGGCCTGATATTTACCCAGACATCCTCAACTCTGCAGTCTTTATCTTAAGGACTGAAAAGATCATGAAATGTCAAAATTATTTTGGCTACTGGAGTGGAGGGGCTAGTGATGGAGCATGTGTCAGCCATTCAATGTCAGCATTACCCTTGCCCTCAGATTCCCATGCCACTCTGACTAGAAAATGTACTAGTTGGGGAAGACTGAGAGGGATACAACCAATTTTGGGGTATTACTTGAGGTTGGGTACTAGTAAAAGGGAGAGCTCGCTCTTTGAGTTTGTCTGCTTCATACTGTGGTAGATTCATGATCTCAGCATGTATTGGTTGAATGGAACAGAGTCAATCTTCTAGGTCCAGATGTCCTCTAATTTCTCTCTAGGTGCAGAGAGTAAATTGAAGGAGAGAATCTCTGGCAACACATCCAAGAGTGACTCTTGTAAAGTTCTTTTCCTTTTACCACATCGCTGTATGTCCTCTTTCTCCTCTCTGACAGGGTGGCACTCTTCCTTGGTTCCTTGGGTGGGTAGGGATGGTGCTGACAACATGGGTACTTCTAGATGGATGCTGCTCAAGACATGGAAACTATACTAGTTGGTGAAGATGTAAATGTAACCACTGCAGACAAAATAAGTGTTTCTAAATAAGTCAACAGCTTAAAGTAGAAGCGGGATTAGCAATAAGTGAACATTGTAGCGAGACACATTTTAGCTTAACCAATGATGGAATGACCTCATGAGATAGAAATTAGAACAGACTTATTAATTCACTCACTGAAAAAGCAGTCTCATAACTAATTCATTCAATAATTCACTCTCTCAACACATAATTATTGAGTGCCTACACATGCCAGGCTTTATTCTAGGCACTAGGGATACAGTAGTAAACAAAACAGACAAGAACCTCTGCCCTTATGAAACTTTTCTTGGGGGAGACCAAAAATTAGCAAGAAAAAGAAATAAACTAGATAGTGGGCCAGACGGAAAAAAAAAATATATGAAATTTTAGATGGGTTGCCTAGGGAACACCTCACTAAGAAGGCAACATTTAGAAAAAACCCTAGGGAAGTGAGGGAGTATGTCATTTGGCTTTGGGAAAGGGCATTTTCAGCAAAGGGAACAGCAAGCACAAAGGCCCTGAGATGCAATTTTCACTTGTATGCTTGAGGAACATTGGAGGGTCTTGAGCTGAGGGGTGACATGATATGAATCACCCTCAGAATCACACTGGCTGCTGTGTTAGATTAGACTATAGATTAAACCATAGGGATGCGATTTCTGAAGAAAGATGATGATGACTTGGATAAGGATGGTGGCAGTGAAGGTGGTAAGAAGTGGGAAGTTTCTGGATATATTTTGAAGGTAGATATGACAAAGTGTTTGGATGGGTTAGATAAGAGGTTTGAGAGAGTGGAGTCTAGGATGATTCACAGTTTGGGTTAAGCAATTAGAAGGATAAACTTGTCATTGACTGAGATGGGGAACATTGGAGGAGGAGATTATATGGGAAATACCAGGAGCTCAGTTTCAAAGATGTTAAGTTTGAGATGCTAATTAGATATTCAAAAAAGAGATCAAGAAGGCAGCTGGGTAGAAGAAGAATTAAAGGAGGGGACGCTATGAATCAGATCTGACTCGACGGCAGTGAGTTTGGTTTATTTTTTTTAAAATTTTATTCCAAACTTGACTACTTTCTATGATGATGTATCTGAGAGTGAGCTTTTAATAGAAATATCAAGACAGAGAAGGCACCTGAAAGCAGCAGAGATTGATCTGGAAGAAGTCAAAGATTGGGAAACATCAGATGTTTTGACATTCATAGATGAATGGGACTTCATAGAATCTCTCCCAACCCTTTCATTAAGTCTAAAATTATTTCTGACTATCTGTGTGTCTGTGGCTTGTTGTTCAAAGCTGCAACTTCTGAAGAGCTATTTTCAATCTATCATGGGACAGTGAAGGCTTTCCAATATTATGATATTATCAATTTAAAGTGAGTTGGTGAAAGGCATTGATTTAGATGAAGTGATTCACAAGTTCACAGCTTTGAAGGCCTGCAAAGGAAAGCTCTAATTTAGTCAAGAAGTTCATTGAGTGGTGAAATTCCTGTGTATTTGTTTCTGTTTAATTTTATGGTATTATTTCATTTATGATTATATTTCCATATGTATTTGTCTACAACTTTTGGGCCATTATTGACTATGCAAATCTAATCCATTAATGTATCTCATGTAAAATTTAATGTTGAAATGAACATAATTTTAATGTTCTTAAACATTTTTATTTCTAATTCTATAGTATTCTCACCAAATTTTCACTTTAACCACATGAAACTATGTAATTGTTAATGCATTTAGGCTGTGCGTATGATACTATAATTTAAAGGTGTAATTTAATTTTGCTAGTTGTTTATGTTACTACTGTTGTCATTACATTCAGTAATATATGGAAATTACAATGTATGAGTAACATTAGTACAAAAAAAAAAAAAAAAGATTAAGCAAAAAAAAAAGAAGGTAGCTGGGTACACAAGACCAGAGTCAGAAGAGAGGTAGGAGGGTGGTTAAACTTGGAATTCATCGGGTATAGATGTTACTTAAGGTCTTGGGACCAGATAAGATAAACTAGGAAGTGAGCATAGCTAGAAAAGTCACTCCAGCTAGAGTGGAGAGTTGAAGAGGAACCTGCTAGAGAATGAGAAGGAAAAATCCCCTAGAGGCAGGTAGAAAACTAGGCAAATTTCAGATATTGGAAACCAGATGAAGAGAGTTTCAAGATACAGCACTGGTCAACTATAAAAAGGCTGCTGAGAGGTCAATGTAAGAATTGAAAGTTGACCTTGAGATTAGGAGGTTAAGGAAGGTCCTGATAAGTCATTATGAAATGGTGGGGGTGAAAACCTGAATGCAGTGGGTTTATAACATAGTTGTTGTTGTTGTTGTTAAGTGCTGTCGAGTCATTTCTGACTCATAGCAACCCCATGCACAGCAGAACGAAACACTGCCCGATCCCGCGCCAGCCCCACAATCCCTGCTATACTCGAGCCCATCATGGCAGCCACTGTATCAATCCATCTCCCTGAAGGCCTCCCCCTCTTTCATCGACCCTCCACCCTACCAAGCATGACATCCTTCTCCAGGGAATGGTCCCTTCTTACAACATGACCAAAATAGGTGAGACGAAGTCTGGCCATTCTTGCTTCCAAGGAGCATTCTGGCTGCACTTCCTCCAGGACAGATCTGTTAGTTCTTTTAGCAGTCCACGGTACTTTCAGCATTCTTCGCCAGCACCACAACTCAAAAGCATCAACTCTTCTTCGGTCTTCCCTATTCATTGTCCAGCTCTCACATGCATACCAGGCGATTGGAAATATCATGGCTTGTGTCAGGCGCACCTTAGTCCTCAAGGAGATATCCTTGCTCCTCAGCACTTGAAACAGTTCCTTCGCAGTTGACTTCCCCAATGCTACACGTCGTCTAATGTCCTGACTGCTGCTTCCGTTGGCATCGACTGTAGAACCAAGCAACGTGAATTCTTTGACAACCTCAATCTTCTCTCCATTTATTGTGATGCTGCTCATTGGTCCAGTTGTGAGGATTTTTGTTTTCTTTATGTTGAGATGTAATCCATAGTGCAGACTGTATTCTTCAACCTTCATCAGTAGGTGCCTTAAGTCATCCTCACT